TGAAAGTTAATTTGATAAAAAATTAGAAGAATTAGAAGTTTGAGGATTTAATTAACTTTAATTTAATTAATTAATGCAATCAAGGATTTAATTTAAAAAATATCAAAATTTAGGGTTGATTTTGGGTCCATTGATTCAAATGAATAGCCAGTGATACTACAAGGGGATTAATTAATTTTTTTAAAATTAATTTTAAAAAAATTAATTAATCCCCTTGTAGTATCACTGGCTATTCATTTGAATCAATGGACCCAAAATCAACCCTAAATTTTGATATTTTTTAAATTAAATCCTTGATTGCATTAATTAATTAAATTAAAGTTAATTAAATCCTCAAACTTCTAATTCTTCTAATTTTTTATCAAATTAACTTTCAAAATTATAATTCAATCCTTATTAGTCCCCAAACTTTCAATTTGTGTTATTTTAACCCCATCTTCAATTCATTTATTTTTTTATTATTTATTATTATTTGTTTTTGAAAAATTCAAAAATTGAGTTATGACACTTGTTATTGTTTGTTTTAGATTTTATAAAATTATATTTGTTTGTAAATTAATGAAACTTATATTGAATTTTTTAGTCAAGTGTTTTATGATGAAATGAATAATGGCTTATTTAATAGGATTATTTTATATTTTATTAATTTTATTTTAGAGTTATATTTTTTTATAAATGTGTAGAAATTTCAATTTATGTTGATATATAATTGATAATGAATTAAAAGAAGTATTAAAATAGATTGAATAAAATTGAACTAAACCAATATTTTTGTAAATTTATTTAGTTAACATAGTTAATTAATAAATGTTGTCATCATTATGTATTTAAATAGATTTGATATCAATAATGGATGGATCGAGATTTACCCAGAGGTGGAAGATGATGGATTATTGTAATGGAGTTTAAGGTTTTATTAATTATACATTATCTAATGTGAGAAATATTAGTAGATGTTAGAGTAGAAATATTAAATGTTCTTTTGTTTTATCACGTAATATTTATCAACATTAAAACTGTAAGTATTTATAGTTGAATATTTATTGATATCAGAATTAAAAATATTACGAGTAGACTATCATAGCAAAATTTAATAAACTTTTAATAATTTAAAACAAAATTAATAATATAATCTATCGTAAGTAAGACGCTTAATGAGTGATAATATCTGTTGATCAAGTGGTAACCTGTCAAACAAGACATTTTTCTATTAAAGAATAAGATACCATAAATATGTTCATTCTCCATCAAATTAAATTTTTAAAGGTTGTGAGCGATCTTGGGTGCGATAACATGTACAAATTATAAATTCATATAGTAAATTGTACGAGGAAAAAAATTATAAAACAAGTAAATAGCCAAACAAAATGCATATATTACAAAAATATGCAAAAAAAAAAAATACATTTAAAAATTATGTTTAAATTAAAAAAAGAAGAAGATAGATTTACTTACTTAAGGTGGAGTATCCTTAATAAAATTTGAATCAGAACATGAATGTTGACAAACTGAGTGTTGTGGTGACCAGATTTATTGTGTGAGATTGAATTGTGTTAAGATTGAGGGGGTGACTATTCGGATTTACCAACAAAATAATTCTGTTAGGCATTCCCTTGGTAATTCTATTCGTAAAAATTGCCACATCACCATACGATTTGACTTTTTGAATCCTTTTGTAATAGCTTTTGTAATTTTATCGGTCTATATCAAGGGATTATTTTTATTAGTATATTTACAGCTAGAGAATATCAAAATTACATCAAACCAAAACTTTGCTCCAGTCATGGATTTTGACTTTTAAGAGTCGAACCATTGGGTAGAGATAGCGTTGGATTTAATAACTATAGTTGACAACCTAATTGCAAAAAACAAACAAACAAACATTTGATAGAGAAACTTTTTTTAGGAAAATAAATATTTTACTTTGTTAATTTTATTTTCTTATTCATTATCATGATGCTTTTATAGTTTTTTTCCCCTCATTATTATTAGGGTTTTGTAGTTTATTTTCTATATAAAGATTTATAATAACTTTTTGAAAAATAGAAATAAAGAAAAACAAAATTAAATATTTGAAATAAATAAAGAAAAACAAAATTAAATATTTTAAAAATATTTCTATATTTATAATATTCTTATTTCTTAGAATTTTAACTTATAATAAACATCCAGAGACCTAGTTTGAAAAGCATTTGAATATAACGACTTCAAATGCTTTGGGCCATGGGTTGAGACTTGAGAGGTGGTTGGTTTCTTAACGGGCAATAACCACTATAGGAGGCCGACTTTATTAGAGTTGATAGGGCACAAATATATATAATAATGTGCTCTGGTTAATACAATAATAATAATGATAATGATTAGGGTAATCTATTCTTTTATTCGGCTTTCTAACCTTCTCAGAATTGCATCAATTAAGAAGCATTAATGGCCGCAAAGAAGATTACTAGAGACCATGAAGAAGCTGTCGATTTTGTAAGGAAGGTGCAGAAGCGCATCAACAAAGGAGGCTTACAAAGGCTTTTTGATGACTTTATGTGCATACAGAAACAAGTGCAAGGAAGTGGCTGTTGTGTATAGAGACGTGGTTGAGCTATTTGCCCTGATTTGTTGGAGGGGTTTCACATATTTTTGCCAACTTTTGAGGTCATAACTGATCTAGAAAGCAAATTGCAGATTTCATAAATATAAACAAACTTGACTTGTGATCAAATTGAGTGATTAATTGGTTTTATATATAGTATTTCTCTTTGAACTAATATCGTACAGTGTGTTCGCTCGCTATAGTTCTGCGTGTTAACTTAAGGTTGTAAAGCTAAGACGATATCAAAGGTGCAACATATCGTTTTTTTTAATTAATATTAATATTCGAGTAAGTTTGTGTCTATCTCAATTAATTTCATGAAACTTGAAATTAATGGTCATATAAATTATTAATGATCTTGAAATTTATGAGACTTAAATTAATAATTTTTAAAAAATAAATTTATAATTTGATCAATTAAGTTATATCCAGGGTTATAACATAGTGTTTTATATTTATTAATGAAGCGGGACAAGAATAAATTTGTTGAGGACTGTACATGGCTTCGTTTGATTTGGGGAGTGCCCCGCGAACTCTGTAGATGCACACATCACTCTCTTGTTCATATTTCAAAGCTACTCTAACATGACGGGGTACTTTTCCATGCTTAACAAATTGTTGTGCATTGTATGAATTTCCAGAAATATCTTGATGAAACAATGCTTCAGAATGAATTTCAGTATTATCTGCAAGGTAGTCTGCGGCTGAAGAATATAATATGGTGAATGAATTTCAGCATTATCTCCAAAGTAGTCTCCTGCTGAAGAATATGGTGGATGAATTTCGGCGACATGGTCTCCGGCTGAAGAATATGTTTAATGGATTTCGGCATTATCTCCATGATACTCTCCGGCTGAAGAATAAGGTGGATGAATTTCGGCATTATCTCCATGAAAGTTCCGCCATATGAAAAGTACGGTGACTGAATATCAGAATTATCTCCATAGGAATATTGGCCTAGTGAAAAATATTATTTACGAATTTCTCCCATCTATTGCAATTTGCTGCCAAGATAATAGATAAACGAATCATTATTTACCAATAAAAACAATTTCTCAAAAATTAAGATTATACGACAACAAAAAAGTAACTAATTTTTTTAATTAAAGAATTGACTAAAAAAGTTATGCGTTTGAAGTTTTTGCTCCGGTAATCAAAGACAATAGTAACTTTTGCCATTAATATTTGCTTCTCAAGAATCTGATTTCTAGTCTTGTTCTCAAAATGAATAAGTTATAAATTAGTCCCAATAAATAAAATGAATATTTGAATAGCGTGTCTAGTTCTAAAAACTAATTAATTAGTACGTGAACATTAAGTATATTATAGATCCATTAAATTTACATGTGATATCTAAAATAGTCTTTAACGGAAAGGGGAGGAGGGATCGGAGGCAAAAGAAAGGGAAGGAGAGATAGGCATCTAAAAAATATAAAATATATTATTTTATAAAATATTTTACGAAAATCAAATGCCCTCAACAAGTAATTGACATAAAATGATAATATATATATCCATGGCTCTTCATCTAACAAGCTTACATCTACTTGTGTTCTTTTTAGCGATCATCTTTTATTTTCAGGTCAGATTTAGCTCAACGAGACAAAGTTTATCTCTTCAATCTGATCATAAAAGACATGTTATCCACATCAAGATTTATAGATTCATAGATACTGTATAATTTTACTTCTAATGAACGACCTAGTACGTAGTAAATAAAGTAGCATCATCCTTAACCAGGAGCTAAAATCCTCAGCTTTCTCATGGTGATTTTTTCAATGAGGTTCATTTGAGACTTCTATGAGGTGTCTTTAACAACATTTTTGCTTTCAAAGCATAGGAAAAGTGCAAACTCGTTTCAAGTGTTGCACTTGCTAAGTATCTGACCCCAAAAGTTGTTACCACTTAGAGAAAATACAGACCAGAAGAATTGAACACTGAGGTCGGTATTTGCCCACTCAAATTGTTGTTTGACAGCTTGAGAAACGTCATTGTTGTTGGCAGTTCTAGTTTTACTGTGAACAATTGATTGTTGGATAAATCTAAAATCCCTAAAGAGCTGATATTTCCTAAACAAGAAGGAATACAACCTGTGAATCCATTCTCGGCCATCGTTAAGCTCCACAGATTTGGAAAGATCAAACAAATACTGTTTGGAATTTTCCATTCATGTGGTTGTTGGATATATCTATGACTTTCATGTTCGGATTTGGGTGTTCTTGCAACTGCAAAGTACCAACAACAGAGTTCACGCTCAAAAGTAATTGCTCCAATCGTTTATTGTTCTTAAGCAACCACGATGGAAACATTCAAGTGATGTTGTTGTATGAGAGATCAAGGACTCTTAAGTCGTATTGGTGATAAAGGATGTTGATAATTTCTCCACTGACTGCTTCTAATGTTCTACTATATGTATAAAAGCGGAAAAAGACTAGTTGGAACTTTGGAATCAAATCATGAAAGTACATGGGTTTTGTTACTAGTCTGTTGTTCTCACTGGAGAAGAACTTGAGGCTTGAGTGGTTCATAAAAGGCTTCATTGAAATGGGAACTTCAAAGAGGTTATTTGATAGTGAGAGGGATTCAATGGATATGAGATTGGTAAGAGGACCGGAGGCAATATTTCCAGTAAATTGGTTACTAGAAACATCTAATAGTTGTAGAGATGACAAGTTTCCCAAACAATCTGGGAGTGAACCTCTAAAATTATTTCCGGAGAGATCTAACTGCTTCAAATTCTTCAATTCACACCAACCTGTACAAGTTATCTCGAAATAGTCAAAATATATAGTGTTGAAAGAATCTTGAGTGGAAGCAGAGTTGTTAATTTACCTTGACACGTTGGCCAACAGACAATACTTTAAGGGTAGGTAATGTTCCGGTGTTCTGGAGAAAGTTTAATGGGAGAGAAGTACGATCTAGACGCAATTCTTCAAGAGTGCTCGAATTGAAGAAAGTCCCTGTGAAAGAGAAAGAAGAAAAGGTAAGATGAAAATAGTGGTGGTACAGAGTAGCCATTCCTTTCAATATTATTAATTAAGATTTTAAGAAACTAAACACTAATTTACGTTGACTTAAAGTAGTATCCTTGAGAGAAAGGGTCTTGAGGGATGGTTTTTATTCCTTAAGATTGCGTTTTTGTCAAGAAGGATAGATTGGAAGTATCCATTTTGTGTATTGTAATATAATCATCTGTTAAGCTTGGCTTAACAAAATGAAGCAGAAGGGTGAGAAGCAGGGGAGGAGAAGAAGGAAAACAGAGAATTGAGAGGCTCTTACGTAATCCTCCTACCATTATATTCTTACACGGTTTCTTACAATAATTGTCAAGAAGTAATTTTTAATCATCCGAATTTTTATTAATCTTTAGAGATGAAAGCGCTGTCAAACATGATGAAATGCTATCATTGATTACTAAATGGATATAAAGTCCTCAATTTTCTCAAGGGAATGTAACTTACTATTGTTTCCTGTCAACCCATTGTTTCCTGTCACCCCATTGTCTGATAGATCCAAAGACTTGAGAGAGGCAACCCATTGAAACATGATAAAATGCTTTTATCATTATTAAATCGGTTCTCACTTAGGTCAAGTACCCCATTGTCAAGTGAAGCAATTAGATAGAACTGTGTATTATACCTGATCCTGTCAACTTATTTAATGATAGATCCAAAGACTTGAGGGATGAAAGCCCACTCAGAATTGATAAGATGCTACTGTTCAATTGATCGGTTGGAGTCGGTTGGAGTTGAAACCTACAAGATATATATATAGTTCTCAAATTATACATCAAAAAAATATACAGTGCATAGATTAAGGAAGAAGATAGACTGCAAGTATCCGTTCTATACATCGTCACTCGTAATTTTTAATCATCCTAATTTTGGTCCAGCTCACTTTAATCTCTTCCTGTCTTATTAAAAAAACAATTTATGGATAAGTTGAAAGCTCCATAGATATAAATCTTCAGGGATGAAAGCTCAGTCAAACATGATGAAGTGCTATCATTATATTGATTGTTAAATAGATATAAAGTCCTCAGTTTTCTTGATAAAGAAACCGTATAAGAGAATGCAACTTACTATTGATACCAGTAAATCCTGTCAACTGCAACTCATCAAAGCTAACATACTGTAAGATACTATAATATCCACTGCAACTATACAAAGCTAACATACTGTAAGATAGCTAACATACAAAATATGTGCAGGGCTAACACAAATTCTTCCTAATTGAGTCCATCTTGGAGGTCAGAAGGCTGGAGTTCTACTAGAAGAAGATACCTCTGGAGAGAGTAATTAAGCAAGCCGGAACTGCTTAGAGTTTAGCTACCGAAGCTTCAAGTTAAAATCATTTTCATTATGACAAATTAAGCTAACTATATTCTGAAAAAGGTTATACATGAAAGTTAAATCCTCTGTCTGGCAATTCAATGAACTTACTGGCAATTCAATTCAATTAAAAGTATGGAACTTTATATTTGTTTATTTGCTTTTTACATGGATGAGGCAAACAGGACAGGAGAGGAGGTCTAAATACGAGCAATCAAGCACATTATTGCAAGGAAGACAGATTATGCCGTTGCCCTGTTTTAAGTTTAGACTTGTGTTCTTTCAGCAAACAAAATTATTGCTTTACCACATTCCACCTTGCTGGTATGATCCTTTGGTTCTATCAATTATTTTTTTAATTGAGAAAATACGATACTGTAAACTATTACAATGGTGAATAAATTCCATATTATTAGGGATATAGAAATCACAAGAAGCCAAGAAGTATTGGTTGATTGCTTATCTAAGACCAAAACGCAACATAATTAAGGCATAACAACGAAACAAACAAATATGGATACAAGCACAATGACAAACACAAGTCATGTCAAAACAGAAAGGCTAAGCAACAAGAACCAGACACTTCGACAGAACACTTCTCACAGGCAAATTGCTATACATGTTGTGAGCAACCAGTGATTTGGAATGCGACTGCTTCCCCACAGAGGATTGCAACAAATTCAGAAAGCAGCCCACTCGATCATGATAAGACCCAATCACCCTCTGAATCTGGACAACTTGCGAAAGTTTATAGCCAAAAAGCAGTAGCAAGTGTCGATGCATTCTTCAATGAAGTAAAACCACCTGCGTCGCCAATGCGGATTTATGCACAGTACTGCTGCAATTGTCAACACCGCAATTATGTAACACACACCAAAGCTGGCATAGAAACTGTACATGTCTATGAAGCCACCATCTCCATTGAAATCGTTAGGCACTCTCGCTGATGGTGATTCTGTTTTGTCGCAACTTTTTTGCAATGGAGGTCCACAAAGAAGAGGATTCCCTTTATAACTGCTTTCATCGAAGGTACCAAATTGATTTTTCATCTCCGGTGTTCTTCCTGACAAATTATTGCTCGACACGTTGAAAACAGATAGAAAGGTCAGTTCAACGAGTTGTGCAGGAATTCTCCCATTCAAGTTGTTGTGAGAAAGATCCAAGCTCTCTATTTGCTTCAGATTGGAAAAGGATGAAGGGATCAATCCAGTGAGATTATTTTGTGACAGATTTAGAGCAAATATCCCACTTAAGTTTCCCCATTCTGTCGGGATTTGTCCAATGAATCTGTTACAAGAAAGATCCATAACAGACATGTAACGAAGGATATCGCCTTCGTAAGTGTAGAAATTTTTCTTTGCTGTAAGCTCCTTCCTCTCTACTCTCTTCACATTTTCATAATTCTCTTCACTCATTTTGCTCTCTTGCATATGCCTCTATTTATAGGCATTCATGGAGGCTTTTCTTCAACAAAGGTGGCTGCCAACTCCAACTCTTCTTCAACAATGGTGGCTGCCAGCCTTTGACATCTTGGATGAGTGCACATGGTTGGTGCAATAGCAAATGGTTGTTGCACATTAATGGCAACCAACCTAACAATCACCCCCTTTGCCATTCATGTGGGGCAACTGTCCTCATTCTTCTTCAACACAAGCTTGCATCTTGCAGCTCTTCCAAGCTTTCCATTCTGAGAGCATCTTTGGCCAAGTTTATAGGCACTCGTCAAACCTTTCAATCATTAGAGTAACTAAAACACATTTTTTCTCACACAAAAGGATCACTATAACCAGATGGTCTGCCACATCACATCTGAATAGTGTTAACGCTTGTCTCTGGAACAACATTCCCCTTCAACCATGCTCGGTCCGAAATGATTCATCAAGCCTCACATCAAGACTTATAACACCCCCTCAAACGGATATTTTAAGTGCGACAGTTATTATCTGAGTATCTCAATATGATCACAAGCTCACCACTCTTCCAAGAGTCTACTCATCCAGGAGTTGCGCCTGCCCTCTGTTCCACCCTAGGAACCACGCCTTACTTCTCCATGAGTCTCCTACTCTTAGTCTCAAGAGTCCAGGTAGCTTTCCACCTTTAACCATGGGGGCAGCCCATAAAAGGTTGATCCATATTTATCTTCATACTCTGAGTATTACAATGCCATTACCGAGCTCACCACCTTGACAAGAGTCAACTTGTTCTCGGAACCTGCGCATGCCCTCTGCTCCTTCATAGCAGCCGCGTCGTAATGCTCCACAAGTCATCCACTTATTGTCCAAGGCAAATGTCTTCTAGCTCATTGATCTTTAGCATGGGGGCAATATCCATGAAAGTCAATCTTGCATTTGTCTTCATACTCATCATAGCCACTTCATTGGCTATCCATCTGTCCACTCATACCTAGCCATCACATTGGCTCTGGGGCGTTCTGAAATGAGCTCCTTCCACGGCCCTCACACCTTCTCCTGAGGTGTCTTCGCTCGTCGTCATGCGGCGGTCTGATCATGGGCTCATCTCATAACCCTTACACTTTCTCTTTAAGGTATCTTCGCCTTTTATAGGCAGTCGCATCCTCCTTCAGCTAAGATGCTTCAAAGTGGCTCCATAAATTCTTTACCACTAATTACATAGAAAGAGAAAGTTGTGGTATACTCCTCGCAATCCTCCACCTCAATTTCTATGTTTGGAGCTTCTACGCCTTTTCTGCTTAACTGCTCCACCCGCACCAACTCCCTTTGGTGTCTTCGCCTTTCATCAAAGGCGGTCGCCTTTTATCACAGGCGTTTGCACCCCCTCAATTAGGTGCATTTGCAACAGCTCATCCTTCCATCCTTGCATGCATTGAAAGGTCCTCGCTTGTTGCCTTTATCAAGAGCACAAGAGACTTTTTTGTTGTACAACTTTTTCATAGTCTCTGCTCTGAACTTCATCTGGGAACTCTTCTTCTCCTTGCACCTGTTGTCTCATTATAGTACCTCGTTGGATCCTCCGGGTACTCCTACACAATCTTCATGTGCTCTCGTGCAATTTTGGTTCTCCAGATTTCTCCCTATTTCTTGCTTATGTTTGACAGCAGCTCATCCTGTCACAACATCTATCCAAGTTTAAATAGGGTGCCAATCTTTATCCCTTTGTTGTATTTCTCTTCCATTATCAGGGTCTTCATCAATTCTCCCCTCGAGAAATTACAGTCACCGAATCTAACTTTCTTGGAGAAATCACCACTCCATCAGATCCTTGATCATATGGAACCCAACTGTTCCTTTGTGCCGTCATCCTGCTAGTCTTCAACAGTTTCATAACAAACTGTCACATATACGAAAATAGTATCGTATGGATAATACTTCCACTAAGCAAGTTCCCAGGAAAGATTGGAGGGGTCACACCGGTCCCGCTTAAAACCCAATCTCCTAGACAAAACTTCTTAGGCCATATTTATCCATCGTACTGTCTTTTCGTATATACAACCATTTGCTAGCTTTGTCGCGGCTTTCCTTTACAAGTGATCTGGGGTATCCTGGTTTTATACCTGATTTCTCAACATCTGGCGAGACTACCAGTGCTCAGATTCGTCAAGATTGGTCTTCATCAAATTTCACTCTCCACCTCAAATTGTCCACATGATCGGGTGTTTAGAGTGTCCCAATTTTGCCTTCCCTCAAGGCAATTAAAATTCCCATATAATAGTTCAACACATGTAATTGGGCAAACATGTGTGATTTCTTCTTCTTCAGCTCCATCGACCACCATGATGACCATCAAATGCCTCCTAATCAGGCAATCTCTCTTTAATCATTCATCACTATCATTTCTGATCTTAATCTCAATAATCGGACCGTACCATTGTATCCGGAACGATCAAATTAGCTGGAAACAAGTCTGAAATCGTCCAAATCGCACTTCAGACGGCTAAAATTTGATCAAAATAATTCTGGCCTGATAAACGGCCCAGATTCAATCTCAGAACCGGTTGCACGTAGACTCCGCCACACAGAATCAAAACCCAGTTATGCTGACGTGGCAGGATGACGTGTCAAACACGTAGGCAATGTGGGGCCCACCTAATCTGACGTGGCAAATCCGCAGAAATTTTTTGGCTGACGTGGCAGGGATGACGTAAAAGAAGAAAAGGTATGATGAAAATAGTAACCATTCCATTCAATATTAGTAATTAAGATTATAAGAAACTAAACACTGATTAAGCAGTATCCTTGAGAGAAAGGGTCTTGAGGGATGGTTGTATGCCTTAATTAAGTTGTTAAGAGGAGGATGATTCTGTTATTTCTTGCGTGCGTAATCCATTTATAAATCATTATATATATATACTTCCCCACATTCTGTTAAGAGGAGGGACGGTTTATTCTATTGTTGACTAACTCTAACTGACTCCATGCATCTGCCAGCTACCCTTAATTTAAGACTCAGAAATTTTAGATCCATCAATATATTATAAATATCATATTGTTTTAGGCACCAAAACTGTCACTGACCTTTCCCAAAGTGTTTAAATGTACTATAACTGGCATCTAAGGTCTTGAGGGATGGCAACGCTCCCAATGACTCTATCAAAATGCTTTCCTTGAAGTCAGATGATTCCAGATACAAGATTTCTAATTTCCTTAAACCTGTGATAGAGATAATTAACAATAAATAATGATTATTTACAATAATTCAATAATTTATAATATTAGAGTAAATATACAAGACATAGCATAAGTTTTTAAATTAAAATAATTTTTTAATATGATATTAAAATTTTATTAATTAAATATTCACCTTCATTTATTTTAAAAAAAAATTAAGAAATTGAACAAAAGTTAATAGCGTGTAGATGTAAGTTTCAAATTATTTCACTCGTTAAAGAATTAATTATATAAACCTTTTTAAGGCTTCATCCAAACAATTACTTAGGGGTTAATACACGTGTAATTATTAAACCTCACTAGGGAATGCCATCTGAGGTAGGAATGATTTACAACTTTACCATTGAGACCAGTTGATCCTGTGAAGCTATTGTTTGACAGATATAGAGATTTGAGAGTTGAAAAACCACCGAGAGATGATAAAACGCTGTCGTTCAATTTATTGGAACTTAGATAAAGTTCCTCCAAATTCCTCAACCCTGAAGCTAGCACTTGAAAACCTGAAAGAAGATTGTCAGAAGGATAGAGTGGAAGTATCCATTTTGTGTACTGTTGTAATATAATCATCTGTTAATCAGAAGGAAAACAGAGGAATGACTCTGTTATTTCTTGCGTGCGTAATCCATTTACAACTTCCCCACATGCTTTACACGATTTATTATTATATTGCTAACTAACTCTAACTGATTCTTAACAACTTCTAACACGTGTCCATGCATCTGCCAGCTACCCTAATTAATCTGCACTAACAGTGACCATATAAACAGCTGTAACAATATATACCTTTAATCATCCTAATTTTGATCTCTTCCGGTCTTATTAGAAAAACAATTTATATAAATCTTTAGAGATGAAAGCTCAGTCAAACATGATGAAATTAACGCTATCATTAATTACTAAGTAGATATAAAGTCCTCAATTTTCTTAAGAGAATGCAACTTACTATTGATACCAGTAGATGATCCTGTCAGCTGATTGGCTGACAGATCCAAAGACTTGAGAGATGAAAACCCAGTTATAGATGAAAAGATGCTATCGTTGCATTGATTCCAACTGAGGTCAAGGTTCTCCAGCTTTTTCAACCTTGATGACAGGACTTTGAGACCTGCATGATGTTTCTCAAAATTAAGCATACTGGAAGGAAATAAACGCATAGAAGCTAAATCATATGACAAGGAGAAAAGAAAATGTTTCAAAGCTAAATAATTAAACGGTCACCATAGAAGCTACCTGATCCTGTCAGCTGATTGTCTGACAGATCCAAAGACTTGAGAGATGAAAGCCCATTGAAGCATGATAAAATGCTTTTATCATCATTAAATCGGTTCTCACTTAGGTCAAGTACCTCCAGTTTCCTCAGTTTTGATGATAGGACTTCAAGCCTGGAAGAGAAACACATCAAAGCAAGATAATTGACATTAAACACCAGCTAGCCACTTCATCAGCCTAATCTCAGTATAAGATTCACACAATGATATGAATTTACTTTACGATTACAAGAACAGAAGCATTGAACCGACCTTGATTCTCAGAGCAACCAACCAGTCCATTACCGGACAAATCAAGACTTTGCAATTCCTTAAAAGGCAGAAACAAAGATGCGTTGAGAACCCAATCCCCCAAGCTCTGATCCCTTGCACCCCAAAGAGAGAGTCGGATCACTCGCCTTGTAGTGTTATCACACTCGATCCAAGACCACTCACAACAATTACTACTGTACTCCACCCAATCTCCCATGTAAATGCTGTTTGGGTCGATCAAAGCTTTGATCTCTAAGAGACCAATTCTCTCATCCTCCAAGCACCCATAACAACGACCACACCAGTCGCCAACCAAAGTCAATAATGCTAGCAACATCCAAGCCCCCATTTTTTTCATCATCATCTTGGATAATTCTATGAAGTACTACGTAGAATATTGTTGTTTGTTATGTCATATGTGCATTCGGGCAACCATAGAGGTCCTATTTATACTACGTTTGACATATAAATTCTGTTCAATTTAAATCAACTTTTCAATAAATAGTTAATGTTAATGAGCACAGTAGCAGTGTTATGTGTATTTGGGACTGTGAATACTGTACACTTTGGCTCTCTTCATACAGTCAATTGACTTTGACACACAGTAAAAATAAAAAATAAAAACTACTCCGTGGATTTGTGATTAAACTACAATACTAAATATACCCACTGATCTGTGGATTTGTGATTAAACTTGGAAAAAAACAACAATACTAAAAAAAGCCATATGTGAATTTGTGATTAAGAAAATTCATTATTTTATTTTTTGACATATTAGGTTCCGCTAGATGCACCGGATCAATGTGCGTGGTTGTCTTTTTTCTTATTTATGAGGATCCAATAGATGCATCAAGTCTAAGGCTCCACAATCACTGTCTGCCACTAGTCAATTCCTCCAACTTGTTGTGTACACTACTCTGGTTTTTCTTCATATATAGACATGGAAAGTCATGTGTTCTGAACAATTGATTTGATCTTGTGGAATACAAAAATTTCTTCCTCAACGTTTTTCATGGAATGAAGTGATTTCCCGGTAGCTTCACCATCCACTTGCACTTCTTTTTCTCCGTAGACTTGTGAAGTCGGTCAAGATTCCCAATGTATTATCGACATCATCAATTGTTGCTAATTTGGTTGAAGAAAGAAATATATGTTAGGCTGATTTACTTCCATATTAATTATTGTTGGATTCTTAATCTGAATGATATATATTAGTCCATTCAAAACAAATTCATTTTCTTTTTTATAAATATATTTATATAACTACGAAAAAAGAAAATGCATTGATTAGAATATTATTGATGTGTTTGAACGAAGAAAGTTAGGGCAAAGATGACCATCATATACACTGTCACGGGGTCAATTTTTCGCTCTCGAAAACAGATCTCGCGCGGTAGTCTAGTCCCGCTAGACTCAGCCTTTCCCTCACCGATTCACTCGTGTTTTGCCTACGACTAGTTTGTCCCACAAACCCAAGAGATCTCCGCACTCTTTCAACGTCCTAAGCAAGCGAAATAACACTAATGAATATGAACAGAATTCAAAACATAGCAGATTACAGGAACAAGTCCCAACCTTTTCATTAACTCAATTAAAGGATTACACAAAGTCCATCTTGTGTGCTATGCCCATCTCCTTTCTGCATGCTACACATTTTACAGTCTATCTAATTACAAGATAATGAAAGTTACAAGTATAAACTATCTCTAACTTCCTGTACAGCTGGAGCACCCATTATCCCATGTTCTAGCCACTTTCTTCCCCACATAAGAAACTGCCGCAACTGCTCCCAAAATTGCCGCAACTGCATTGGCATGTTCTCTCACAAGCCAACTGCCCACTGCCAGCACACATGCTGCCAGCGTAACTGCCTCGCATGCCTTGGACCGTCCGCTGTCCATGTTATCGTTAGCCCCTGCTGCTGAATTTGTTGACGCTGCTGAATTCCTCGACGCTATCGATTTCACCAGTGCTGCCGAATTCCCCACTGTCCTACTGTGTCATCCTAGCACTGTTTCGTCAAGGCCTTGGACAATCCTCGCTCAAGTCTCAACTCTCGTCAACTCACTGCTGTGTTAGCTGTTGCATGCTGCCGCACATGCATGCTGTCGATTTTCGCTACTGTCACGCGGGCTGCCACCCCGTAGCTACTGTCCAGCAACATTTTTCGTCAGCCTACACCTTGACGGATTTTAACCCTGTGACAGACACCATGTGGGCCAATAAAATTAAAAACAAAAGACAATATCAATGGCTTGCCAAAAAAAGAAGTTTTATGTTAAATTTATGTATATGTTAAATTACTTGATTAACTAAAGTTAATCCTGTAATATTGAATTATTTGTTGTAAAACATGATTAATTGACATATTTAAAGTCAAATAAATAACAAACCCCGCTTACTTTTAATATTAAAAATTATTTTCCAACATAAACTCTTTAATGTAAAAATTTAACATAATTAAAATAAATTGTGATTACCGTTGGAGCAATTGATTTGATCTTGGGACCCACAATTATTTTCGTTAGTCTGTTAATGTTTTTCTTCAAGCTTGTGGAACGGGGCGTTCCTCCAGCTTGTAGTGTAAGCTACTTTGCTTTTTTTCTTCGTAGACTCGGGAAGTCATTTGTTCGAACATTATTTTCTGACAAGTCTCTTAAATCTCATCATCCACTTGCACAAGTCTCTTAAATTATTTAAAACATGGTTAATATACATATTTAAAGTCAAATAAAAAATAAACTCCTCTTATTTTTAATGTTAAAAATTATTTTTTAACGTAAACTCTTTAACATAGTTAAAATAAATTGTGATTTTTCGAGCAGTTGATTTGATCTTGGCCCTTACAATTATTTTCATTGGTCTATTATTTGTTATTGTTTTCAAGCTTGTGGAACGGGGTGTTCCTCCAACTTGTTGTGTAAGCTACTTTGCTTTTTTTCTTCGTAGACTTGGGAAGTCATTTGTTCGAACATTTGATTTTCTGACAAGTCTCTTAAATCTCATCATCCACTAGCACTTGTTTTTCTTTTTCGTAGACCTTTGAAGTCAAGATTCCCAATTATCCACCGCATCAATCTCTATCCCATCAAAATGAATTTGGTGCAAGAAAAAAAATCTGATATTTGTGATTTACTCTTGGTTTTATAAGTGTAAACTGTAAAACCCAACCATTAAGATATCTACATGCATGTAAGACAGTTTCTAAACATATAAGGAAGAAGGAAGAAGGAAGAAAATGCATTGGAGAGTATATTTGTTTTTTAAGTAAGAAAATGCATTGATGAGTATTTTTTTTTTTAAATAGCTTTTGTGGTTATGATTTTAAAAGAATAAGTTTAAAAAAAATACGGTTAATTGTGATTTGTTGAATTTAAATATGTGTTTGATAAAAATTATGATTGAAATTTATGTATAGCAAAAAACATGTATAAAATATTTAGTGAAAGTGTAGTTAGAGTTGCTTTTTAAAGTGTTTTTTACTTGGAAATGCATCAAAATAATATTTTTTTTATTTTTTTAAAATTATTTTTGATATCAGCACATCAAAATGATCTGAAAACACCAAAAATATATCAATTTAAAGTAAAGAAAAAAAAATAAAAAATTTAATTTTTTTCAAAAGCGTTTTTGAATAACAACAACAAACAAGGTTTTACAAAACTCGATTAAAAAATCATGTAAAAAATACTTCACAAAAACTACATTTAAAACTCAATTTTTTAGTGGGCTTCATAGTACAAAACACAATTTGATTTGATACCAAATATCTTGCTGTGTTTGTTTCACTGCAAACGCAAAAACTGGTGCAAACAAACGCAGGTGTGTTTGGTATTGTGGTAACTTTATGGTTGTGGTTTGAAAAACATTATTTTTATAAAAAGTTTTTTTTAGTTGAGATTGGTATGGAAAAATATATGTTTGGTTAAAACAGTTGTTAAAATTGGGGTTGAACAAAAAGTAGTTTAATGTATTTGGTTAAAAATACTTTTTAAATTGAGGTTATAAAATAATTAAAAAAGATATATATTAATATTAATAATTTTTAATTGAAATATTGTTAATATAACTACTGTTATTACATCATGAAATAAATAATACTTTATATAAAGTATTTTTTATTATTTCATTAAACTATTTGTAATTTTATCACGGACGAAAATCATCTGACAAGGACTATAGTTTTTATAACTTCTTGAGCGTACAATAATATTATATAAAATATCATCAGGAATAAAATTAGGATTATAATCAAATTCTGTAAATGCTATGTTATCATAGGATCTTCTTCTAATATAATTATGTAGTATCTTTGAATAATGTTAAACACTAATTTTTTAAATAAAATATAATAACTGAGAAATTTTATTGAATTTTTTTATTTTACTTGGTTAGACCCAATATAATGCATTTAGGTTTAAGCTGGAATATCCAACCCAGAATAATGAAGAATAAATTCATTCTTCACCTCTTTACTGTTCACATAAGTAGTAGATACTCAATTTTGCAAAGCATAAAAATTGTGCTTTTGTTAAACATAAGGCATAAACGTTATTTATAGTGGGTCCCACCAAAATAAAACTCTATTTTTAACTAAATCAAACATTAATATCTGTGCTGATTATCAACTTGAAAAAACAAGAAAAAATAAAATCATTTATTTTTTCCTCACAAACATTATCGCAGTATTTCTTGACTTCTTACTCCTTAGCTTCAGTTCTTCTATATTGGCTTTCTTCTTCTCACCGTGATACTGAATATAGATAGTCTTTTTCATGATAATACAACATTTTCTATTATTACAATCCACTCTGGGTCTAAAATTTGATCTAGAGTTACTTTTATCAAAATTATTTTCTTATACTATTTTTTTAACATGAAAATCATATATATATATATATATATATATAGTAAAAGAGATTATTTAGATTTTTTCCTACCCTTGAAATTATTATGAACATAAGTAAAAGAGATGAAAACTCCTTTACCCACGTGTTGAGCATGCCCTAAGCATGGCTAGGATTTTGTTTAGCGGATTTTTTTTTTGATGAAATTGAATATCATTTCAATAAACAAATAGCAAGTAAAAATGTAACTACTAAACTAAATAGCGTATAAAACAGGAAATATTTAGAGTTGGAAATAAATCTTAATTTTTAGCATTCTCATTCTCTCTCATCTGCTGATTGTAAAATCAGAAATATTTGATAAGTAGTATATTGAAAATATTTTTTTTTTGTATTTAAAAAATATATTATATGTGAAGCTGGTATAAAGTCAACATCACTTATTCTGGAGCAATAAATACATCATAAGCATGTACAATAAGAGAGAGAGAGGATACATTTGATGGAGTTAGATTTAATAACTATAGCTCGCAACTTAATTATATATAAAAATAAAAGAAAAAAAAGAAACATTTGATGTAGGAATTTTTTTAAGGAAAATAGATATTTTACTTAGTTAATTTTATTTTTTATTCATAGTTTGA